CCCCTTCCCCCCTCCCCGTCTTTTCACCGCCCGAGGGAACTAATTTTGACAGCATAGCTACTCGCAGAGAGAAGAGTCGAGCGGGGGGGGGGAAGGGGAAATGGGAGAGGCGCGGGGCGAAACTTTGCACCGTCATTTGTTTGAGTCGAATCTTGTCTCTCATCAGGTACGCCGTGATTCATGGCTTCCTCCAGGACTCCCTCCAGGAGCACTGCGATTGACGTCCTGAAATATTGTTGGCCAAGTTTTAAGTTGTGTTATCAAGGGGGCCCCGGGAGCTGCGGCGGCGGCGGCCGTGGGCGGGATGGCGACGGCGGGTGAGAATTCGGCGACTCATAACGGCTAATTTGGGAGTTTTGATGATGGCCGGGGAGGAGGCGGGTTGGGTGGCGGCGCTGGTGGCGTGGGGCGTGGTTGCGGTTGTGGTGGCGGTGGTGGTGCTGCTGGTAGCGGTGGGTCTTGGGTGCTGGGTCGAGGCAAAGGCTCGCGACGGCTCGGCTGCAGCTCGCCGGAAGAGACAGTGCCGCGTGACTTTTGCTACAGAATTTCTCTTGGTATTTCTCGTGATTTTCAGCTTGCCTGGTGGTCCACTCATGCTCGACTATTCTGGTTTTCCGTTGTATTCGTAGTTTTTGAGAAGAACTAGCAAGCGCCATCCTTTTGAACTGTAGGAAGAATTTTTGCGTAGAACCACTGTGAAAAAAATGTTCGAACACGTACGATATATTTTGTAGTTTACCATTCACAAAACGAGTCGTACACTTAAACTGTTACAACCACCCACCCTTGCTCTTTATTCGACTCCAAGTCAATTCCAAGTCAACGAGGTGATTGTAGGAAATTTACAATTTTAAATTGTAAATGTGCGACATCTTTCATGGAATGGAAACTGTTCCTGTGTTACCCGGTACGACCATTTTTCACAGCGCTACTTCAAATACTAAACTGTTCTGTGTTGTCTTGTTTCAGATCATGGACGACCGGTGGGAGACGGACGTGCTGGAGTACGAGGCGATGAACATCACGGGCTTCCGGATCGTGGACACGACCAAGAAGCACGTGCGCGACTTCATGCAGGGCTGGAAGGAGCACGTCGCCACGCTGCCCGCCTCGCCAAGCGCGCGCCTCAGCCTGTCGTCTATCTCGGCGCACGCAGCCCTCATGTACGACGCCGTGTTCGTCCTGGTCGAGGCGCTCAACAAGCTCCTCAAGAAGAAGCAGGTGCCGCTGCGGCGCGCCGGCCAGGCCTCCAACAGCAGCCGCTGGCCCGACTGCAACGCCTCGCTCACCTGGGAGCACGGCGACAAGATCTCCAGGAACCTGCGCAAGGTCAGTCTTCTCCCATCCCGTCCGTGACGGCGAGTCCTAAATCTATATGATGCCCAAATGTCGGTGTCGTTCAGCTCTTCGTCATTAGTTACTAACACTGCCCAAAACTTGCATCTTGTCGATGGCAAAAGATTTACCTTTGTCATGTAGTGCGACACTGTTTGATCGTTTCATCTCTTTGACTTCGACCCCAATTATTGCCTGCAACACAAGCTGACCTTCAGGGGACAAAGAACCCCGGTTTCCTCCCAACAAGAATTAGGCAGGACCCCGTCAGGTGGCCTCTTGACCACCACCTTTCCCTGTGTTTTCTTCCAGAGCTGTATCGAACAACGGTAAGCCCCCCACCCCTTCCTCCCCCTTGTTCTCCAAAACGAGAATTAATTTTGTCCCACTTTTCCTCGACCGATTTCGAAGGGCAAGCCACCGGTGGCGCCCGTGCCCGTTCCGCTGTACGCCTGTGGCGACGCAATCCCAACTTTTCCAGAGGCCGACCCACCCAAACCCCCT